CAGTCTTCACAGAGAATGTGAAGCAGAATGTGTTCTGTTGCTACTTTCAATTTCTATAAATGGGAAATCCAGTTCCTGCTTCATAATGAGTGAAGGCTGTTCAGTGTTTTTTTCTGAAATAAATCTGTGGTTTTTAGTTCAAATCGTTGGGAAGTTGATTGCTCCAGGTAATACAGTGTCAGTGTCCTGTTTCCCGGTGTTGTTACTCCCAGCAGAGGGATAAAGGAGTTGAACTGCTTTCTAACATTTTAGTTAGTTATTGGCACATTAGTGGTTACTCCCAGCAGAGAGATAAAGTAGTTGAACTGCTTTCTAATGTTCTAGTTAGTTATTGGCAAATTAGTGGACCAGATAGTATGAATAAGATAGTACAGTTGTATTTTACTCATTCCAGTCAATAAATATCTGCTCCTAAATGTATTTTCTGAAACTTTCCTCTAGCAGTGAAAATTACAATTGGGGTATGAGGGTGTGTGTGAGAAAAAAGTCTTTCTCAATAACTGCACACCTTTTTCCTCACTTGTCTGAGAGTTATGATGGAATATAAAATCATAGAATGGTTATGTTAAAGATCATGTAGGTCCAACCCCCCTATCATAGGCAGGGACACCTTCCACTATACCAAGTTGCTCAAGGGCCCCATCCAACATGGCTTTGAACAATGCCAGAGATGGGGCATCCACAACTTCTCTGGTCAACCTGTGCCAGTGTCTCACCACCCTCATAGTGAAGTTTTCTCCTAATATCTCATATGAATCTCCCCTCTTTCAGCTTAAAGCCATTCACCCTTGTCCTTGTCACATGCCCTTGTAAAAAGTGTAAAAAGTCTCTCACCACCTTCCTTATAGGCCCCCTTCAGATACTGGAAGACTGTTATGTCTCTCCCTGGAGCCTTCTCTTCTCCAGGCTGAACAAGCCCAACTCAGCCTGTCTTCATAGGAGAGGTGTTCCAGCCCTCTGATCATCTTTGTGGCTTTACTCTGGACTCACCTGGGGAGGTACATGTCCTTCTTTTCTTGGGGGCCCCAGAGCTAAACACAGTACTACAGGTTGGATTCTCATGAGAGCAGAGTAGAGGGCGAATAGAGCTTCTCATTAGTCAATACCCAGAAGTCCTTCTCCTTAGGGCTGCTCTCAATCCAGTCTCCACCCAGCCTGTAGTTGTGCTTGGGATTGCCCCAATCCAGGTGTAGGACCTTGCACTTGACCTTGTTGAACTTCATGAGGTTTGCATAGGCCCACCTCTCAAGCCTGTCCAGGTCCCTCTGGATGGCATCCCTTTCCTTCAGTGTGTCAACTGCACCAGACAACTTGGTGTTGGCAAGTCTGCTGAGGGTGCACTCAGTCTCACTGTCCATGTCACTGACAAAGATGTTAAACAACAATGATCCCAACAGTGACCCCTGAGAGACACCACTTGTCACTGATCTCCGTTTGGACCTTGAGCCATTGAATGCAACCATCTTCATCTCCAGGGTAATATTTACACTATTTTGCAGCATACTGTGTTGTTTCAGTGTCACGCAAACTGCAAAAGATAATAGCTTTTATGGAATGTTTTAAACCATAATCTGTGTATTTCCTGGAAGTTTTGTCACATAAATTTAAGCCACTGCAAGGACACTTGGTGCTCATTGATGAGTAGTTAAATGAGAGAGAAACCTTAGATGATCTGGAGTTTAACCACTAAATAAATTATTTTTGTAAGACTACACAGAAGTAAATCCCTAACTCTGCAGACAATATCCTGAACTTGCTGTTGGTTTTTTGAGTTGTATTAAACAACTGAAACACTTGATTTTTTTTTAATCGTTTTAGCTTACAGTTCGCAATAGGATTGCGAGATAAAAAAAGCAAATATTTTGATGAATATCTCTATTTCTAAAAGTCATTCCTCTTGTTGTCTTTCTCCATGTATTATTCATCTTTTGGGAAGAACCATCAATGCCTGAAGGTGATTTTGTAATGCTTTTTCATTAATGTTGTTTTTTCTAGACAATCTATACATTATGTGTTCTGCAGCCCATGAGAAGAATGATACATCACTTTTGGAAAAAAAAACAACACCAAAATCAAAAAAGAACCCTATGGTTGTATTAGGCCTTGAAAGGTGACCATAGCAGGATTGTTAACAAATGTAGAAACTCATGCGAGTGTACAATTTAGGTTAGGAAAAGAAAGAATTACAAAAACTCAGAAGCTGTTCATAGGATTAACAAAAGGAGCCTCCATCAGGGCTAATGACCAGCTTTGCTATATCACAGACACAGTGAATTCTCTATCTTAAATTTACTGAAATATTATTTTCTGGCACTAAATATGTAAAATATGTTTACACAGGAACTTAAATATGGGAGATGTTTTACAGATTAAGAAATCTGGAGAGGGACTTTTTACAAGGGTATGTGACAGAACAAGGGCAAATAGCTTTAAGCTGAAAGAGGGGAGGTTTGGATTAGATATTAGGAAAAAATTGTTCACCCGGAGGGTGGTGAGACACTGGCACAGGTTGCCCAGAGAAGCCATGGTTGCCTCATCCCTGGCAGTGTTCATGGCCATGTTGAATGGGGCCTTGAGCAGCCTGGTCTAGTGGAAGGTGTCCCTGCCCATAGCAGGGGAGCTGGAACTAGATGATCTTAAAGATCCCTTCCAACCCAAACCATTCCATGATTCTATGAACTTTTCAGATCAAATAAGCAAAGACATTCTGTCATTATACATAGCAGTGTTTAACAGAATTATACAATATGCTGTATTTTTATGAGACTTTTTATATAGCTGTTTAATATGTACTGCTTGATTTTTTTTTTTTTTATTTAGCTTTGGAGCAAACATGCTATTATTTTGGATGGAGTACTAAATGGACTCATCAGTTTAAATGCAGAACTTGGTTCTTGAACATATAGTCATTAAGGGTGACATATATATTGTCAGTTAAATAGCAGCACTTCAGTACCTACCTGAAGTGGTAGGTACTCACTCATGGGGACAGAGTATTATGTATGTCCTGCAGGACAGCCAATTTAGGCAGTGGTTCAATAAAGTAAATGGTTTCTAGATATCCCTAATTTCAGATGCAGAACTTTCAAATCTAGAGGCTATTACCAGAAATTATCTGTTTAGCTTAAATTTATAAAAGGGCTTTGAAAAGAACATTATAGGAACATTCCTTTCACTTAGAACAGTCGTATCTGTACCAGAGTCTCAGATATTGCATTAGAATGAAAATAAAATGAACTATAAGATTCTTCTTTTGATCAGATGGAACATGTGGAAGAATCTTTCATTTGTCATCCCTTTCTCATAGATTTATTCCTTCTCCCTCATTTTTTTAATTTTTTTTTTTTTACAGCTGGTATTACAATACAATTTTTTATCAACTCAGAATACGGAAATATATCTAAAGAAAAGATACAGGGCGGCCACTTTCCAAACCCATATTCTTGCACTAACTAATGTTGATTGCAGCACATTTAGCTATAGGAATTTATATAGTAGTTGAGTCATTGCACTGGAAAGCATACCAATAATTCAGAAAAACATAGATGTGCCAAAAATAAAGTGAAGAAATGGTCATTTTATTAATTTTAAGAAAAGATTTAAAAAAAATGCATAGACGCTAGGACGAAAGAACAGCAAGTCAATCAATATCTCTGCTTGTGAAAGAAATAACTAAAATTTTATATGTGTTATGTACATCACATTTAAAGGACTGGTGCCTGAAAATAAGTCTCAAATAATCTGCATGAAGACACAAATGGAGAATGAGCTATGAGAAAAGAGGTAGTGGGTTAGGGTGCTCACAAGGAGGCTTTATAATGAGAGAAGGAAGAAAGAAAAATAAAAGATTTGAGAAGTAAAGAAAAGAAAGCAAATTAATGTTGGTAGAATAATAATTTCCTATTGTAAATTACTGAAGCTAATCTGTAATAACTGAATATTTCATAAGTATACACAGATACTTTCAGTTAGCTGTTCTGTACTTGGATGCTGAGGTAATTCACAATCAGAATTCAGTCCTGTGAGGTTGTCAAAGCTATTTCATAATGCCATAACTGTCCTAATTGCTAGCAAACTGGAGCATAGCTTGAATCAAAGTCAGTCTCTGGCTTAGTTAAGGTGGTGTCCTTCTCATGCAAAACTCACAAGTGAACTTCTGGTAGTTAAAATAGTAATAAGCCTGCAGCATAGTTTTTAGTTTTTGGTTTTTTTTACTCTCTATGAGGTTATAACTTTAAGGTTTCCCAGAATTGTAAATATGATGCACTTGATCAAAACATATTTTTAATCATAAAAATATGTGAACAAAATAAAATAGAAAAGCAACTTATGACATATCCCGCAGAACTCAAACTTCTAACATGTAATGTTACTTATATGCATGTATGTGCCAACCTATATAATTGTCACGCAAATGAATACAAGGTATTAGGATTTTATGTTGTAAAGATTACAAAAAACTTTTCGAATATCTTTATTGTAGTGAACTGGCTGTTTCTGTTTTCAAAAGTATTCCATTTTATTGAGAGAAGGTCATTACTGTAATATTAGTCAAAATTCTCTGTACTCATTTCCCAGGGGATGTTATTTGGTTGCTAAAAATATAACCTGGAGTAATTTTTCATATATAATTGCATACTTTTGATGATCCGCTTCTGCTTTAATCAGTTTTCAGAGAGAATATTTTTGTTTTTTTTCTTTTTTTCCCAGCCAATTCTACAAACACACTGAAAGATTGATTTACATATAGGCAAGTTTTTCTGTGAATTTGAGTGCTTCCCCCCAGTTAAACTGTTTTCCTGTGGCTGTTTTTAGTTACTTCAACAGCCCATGCTTGGAAACAGTCATGTCACTGGCACATTTAATCAATTAGTTTAATCAGATGAAAAGGAATGTTGTGAAAGCTGTGAAACAAAAAACTCACCGTTTCATGCAGTGCTTTTTCTGTCAGGGCATGAGACAGGAAGTTGAATTTACAAGTTCAGTTTTTCATTTTACAGAGCTACTAGAGAAGACCCTCAGAAGAGAGGAAGAAATGGGAGCTATCCAGGTATACTTTCTATTTAATTAAGTAGCTACAGTTTTTGTCACCCTTCAAATTACTAAACTGTATTACAACATTATGTTTTTCTGACCTGCCTTGTATCTTAAATTCTTTGAAATTCTTTGGAAATATATGCAGCCAAATACAGACCTGATAGCTAGTAATAATCACTACTAATGAATTTCTGCCCACCAATTAAGTTGCACATTAGAGAAGATTGAAGTAGTCAGCATTCTCCTTATGAGTCAATAAGTCTAGTCCATCAGTGAAAAGAGTGCTGCTTTCAAGTCCCACTCTGTACTCAAGTTATGTTGTACTGCTGGCTTCACTGAAACTATGTGACATGGGGCAGTGCAAATCTGCATTCAGAACTGCAAAAATGCCAATTCTACTGGTTGGCTTAGATTTTCTGAGCTGTGTTGTTTTCTTCTGTATCTCTGAATAAACTGAAAGTAAAAGATTTTAAGTAAGTATTTTAAATCTCTGAAACATTAAATGTCACCTTCCTGAGGAAGAAGAGACCAGTCAAAATGTGCTAGGACTTGATACGGTATAGTAATTCCTCACTGTATGTCATCTAGCACTAAAGCTGCTTGTGCTAGGCACTTTAAATTTGCACTTAAAAATTAAGATTTACCCTAAGCTCAGCTTTGGAATAGTATTTAAGCATTGCAGTCAAAGAAAACATACTCCTTTGAAATGAAAATGGCTAGGAAAGCAAAACCAAGCTGGAATGTCTAAATTGTGAGGCTCTGAAAGCTATTAGGGAGGGTAGTGCATGTATTCTTCAGAATAGAGAAGGGAAAAGAAATTTTTAGCAACAAATTACAGCAGACAGTACCCAACATGAGTATAAAAATGTTTAGCTACAGCATGAAGAGTATCAATGAAGCAACTTTCTGTAAGTATTCTGGAAGCAGGACATTTATGAAGGAATTAATGAAGATAAGGGTGTTAAAGAAAATGAAATTACATATTGACCTGAGTTTTGACCATAAGAGTTTGTTTGAAAAGATAAGCTTTCTCTTCTCGCATCATAAGGAGAAGGCATTTTGAGGGCTAGATGTATCAAAAAGTGTAGAAACAGTTTGATCCAGTAAGAAGAGACAAGTTACACAACACACCAATCCAGCTGTTCCTTGTTCAAACAAAAATCTTGGCCTAGCTTTCTGGCAGCTTAAGTTTAACAAGGCTGAGAGCTTGTCTACGCAAGCAGTTTACACAGGTGCATATCTAGTTACATCAATGTAAAAAGATCTCTTTTCATGTGAAGCAATTCTGCATCTGCTTTCATGTGAAGCTCTATAGTTGACAAATTGTTCTAATGATTTACTTCTGATTTAATAAGGAGTAATTTTATACTGCAGAAAGTTGCATTGTAATAGTGTCTTGTGTGCGTACATGTGCTTGCCTGTATTTCCGATGGTCTGTCAAGCTGCTGATCAAATTGCTTTATGTCCTTTCCAGTCTTGTGAATGGCAAGAACTGTTTCTGGCTCCCAAATTCTTCCATTGGAACAAATTTTTGTTGTATGTGTCAATTTCTTGAGTGTCCTGAAGTCAGTTCAGACTTATCTAACTGTCTTTGGATGCTGCAGGAATAAATCCAGATTATTACAATCATTTTTACCTGTTAGGGAGTGATAGGGCCCGAAAACATATAAGGATTCTTAGCCTAATCCACCCAGGAAGGAAAAGGGAAAAAAACCCCACACAAAATCTTCTCCTGTACTTTCAAAAATGTAGTATTTGAGCAAGGTAAGAATTCCTGTAATATCTTAATGGTCAGGTACTCCAAATGTACCTGACCAGGACTCAACTAAGCACTTGAATGTACATTTTATTGAGTTACTTAAAATGCCATTCCTAGTTAGGACATTAGTGCTAGAGTACATGATCTTGAATTTACTGGTTTAATATCTTTTTTAAAGATTCTTTTAAATGGAAAGGGAACATTAAAATATATGCATTGATTTTATGAATTCTGGGTTCTCTATATTTTGTGCTGGATTAAAACAGATGCAAGCTTGCTTTATTTTAATTTTATTTTCATCTAACTTTAGACTTTGACTAACGTCATCTTATTATTAAAAAACCATTCTTCAGAACTATTTCTGGATAACAGAATAATGATATGGAATTTGCTTGTTAGTTTTTGAAGGAAATGCCTAAAAGAAAACTAAACCAGATGCTAATGTGACATGAACTCCAAAATATGCCAGATTTACAGTCATAGATAGTCGAAAAAAGAAATCAAACATTGGGATACATAAGAGTAATATCAACAATATTGAAAATCAAATGGTACTATTTGAATAAAATAAATCATTGAGTAATTTTTTAAAATTCTTTCTTACCTTGTTTCTGGGGAGTTTCTTTTCTTTAGAACAAATTTGTAAAGAGAGATAGTGTGATAAATGGGTCAGAGGTCCAAGTAAGTACAGTAGTTCCTATTCAGTGATGTTTTTACAAAATACCATGCATATGACCAGCAAAAAACCAAAATGAATCCTTTTCATCATTGTTCAACTTGTGTTGCATTTATATTCTTTACTTTCTAATGGCATCTAACTTTATTTTTAGGAACGTATTATGGCCTTAGAAGTGGTAAGTTTCTTAAATTCATTTCCAAACCAATCACAGTCACATTCATAATTCTTCTAACTGATGAAAAACATTGGGTTTATGTATTTTGGGAAGAAAAAAGGAAAGTTGCAGTTCTGGGCTTTTAACTGTCGTTTTACTTTTAAGAGAAGGTGTAATATTTTTACACTTCACCTTTCTGTGCAGGTTTTTACTACAATAGTTGAGCACTAGTTATATGAATTACAGTGTGATGTTTTTCTGTACAGTTCAATCCTCATCCTTGTTTGAGCTGTACAAAGGACGTTATTTTTCTGTTGCTAACACTTCAAATGTTTGGGGTCCCTTTGGTAGGTCTAATGATTTCATGTACATGTGCTTTTTACATGTTTATGCTGGGAGGGGCAAACAATCAGTTCATTTGCTCACATCAACACTGTAACTAAAAGCATGAAGGAATACCATTTTTTTGAGTAATTAATATAAATTAATATAATTTAATAAGGTAATAAGTTGGAAGCACCAAAGCTTTCATGAATGTACATGCCATGAATGCAGCTGTTCCAAGCTTTTAAGAGTACCAGGTGAAATAGCAGGGGTGGGTCTCGTCTTGTCCTAGCATTTCTGAACCATGCTGCTTTCCTCGTGTAGGAATGTCCAGTAGGACATCCCACAATAGTATGTATCAGGCCTGTAGTTTCTTCCAAATTTAATCCCAAGAAACCAGTACTGAGACAATATCAAGGCTGCAAATACAAACTTTTATATTTGCTTGTGCAAATTATTTTGTCCTTCCTGATTGTATCTAAAAACAGCTTCCCATTTCAAAAATATATTTTATACGTATTGAATATGTTAAAAAAAGCTGTCATTCTCGCATAAAAGGCCCTTTGTAAATGAGAATTCTTGAATTCCTGCCTTGTGGGACTAGAGAGCTGATGCTCAGATTCAGTATCCTGGCAGTGAGTGTATCTCAGTATCCCGTGTGAGTGTAAAGAGTTGCCAGGACATTAATTCTGTTCAGTAGCATCGTTTTTTCATGGTTTGCTTACATGACAACCGGTCAGGCATGTATCCACTGCCATCCATTTGTCATGAGCTGTGAGTTAAACTGCCTGCAAATGCCTTGTCTTTTCTGCTTCCAGAGCTCTTTTAACACAGGCAGAGGTTAATTGCTTGCAAATAGCCCAACATCAAGCAAATTCAATCCTTATTTTGTGACAATGTTTGTATTTTTTCCTGGAGCTTTCCTACTCTTTATACTTTTTATTTCTCATACTTTAAGTAGGAAGATTTGTAAGTTATTGTTCAGATAGGACTATTATCATCAGTAAAACATAATTTTCTTTCTCAATGCAAGTTGGGACATAACACCTGAATGCAAATTTGTGATGCTAAATCCGAGAGCTTGAAATCAGTCACTGCTTTCATTATTGCTGATATTGAAAGATGTGTAATGTGAAGTCCTGAGATTGCAGGCAAGAAAATATGGTCATCACTAAGGCTGTTGAATGCTCCCGTGGCACTCATTTTACTTTTACCATGAAGTTCCTCTATGATGTGAAGCAAATCACTGAAACAAAATTTTTCAAAGACTGTATATTACTTTGTGTCCTCATGTTCTGGGTATCTGACTTTGTGACTTGAGGCCTGATTTTCAGAAATGTGAAGGTTTAGTAATAGCTAAATTCAGTGACAGTTCTGGCTATGTATTTTGCTAAGTATACTCAAAAGTCAGATGTTAGATATCTGAGAGTGAATACTTTTTAAAATATAAGTGGTTTTGACTTTTATATCTGTTTCAGTTCTGATGATGACAGCATTATCTCTGTCTTGTTCTTCCCATTCACTGATCTTAAAAATGTACACAGAGTAATACCTAAGCCGTCTGAATGTGTCAGGATGAGCTAAGGTAGAAAAACCCTTGAGCAAAAGAATGAATAAGGCTTTCCATGTAAGGGAACTTCAAAAATCCTTATACTTTTAGTGTGTATGTCTACATAGCTCTATATCTATGCAGCATTTATAACAATGAGTACGTAATAATTATTGTACACAGATATTTGTATAATTTTCTTATCTGCCATTTTGAGTCCTCAGAGCATGACATCCGAAAAGTACAACCACTCACATATTTTGTGATTTAATTCAGGTTATAGAGAATGGAAATGGAATAGAGACATAAGGCCTCTAGTCAAATTCAAGGTCTCTATTCAAGTTCTTGAATTAAATTCAGACAGAATCCTTAGTGAAAAAAATATTTAAGCTTTGGAAAAAAAGTATTTCCTTAGGAAAATTTTGTCAGAAAGGTGGCGGTTCATGAGACTCATGAAATACAAGTTATGAAAAGGGGCAAGAGAGGAAAAAACCAGAACACACACATATATAAGTTATATATAATGCATAGGAAAGCATCAACTCTCTAGAACTGTTTTCAAACTGTGAGACCATGGGGTGACTGGGTTAGGAATTTCATCTGCATTTTCTTGCAGCACATTCTTATTCTGCCTAATCCTGGGAAGAAACTGGTCTGCACAGGAATAGATGGAGTTTAGTGCAGAACTGTGTGAGATTTACCACAAGTATGAAGCCTCTTGCACACTTTTTAAATTGCTTCTCCCCGCATATACCTTTTTAAGCAACAGAAAAGACGCGTATATCTAGCAGTAAATGCAATTTTTAGATCTTTAGATTAAGATTTTAATCTAAACAAGCTGCTTTACACAATGACCTGAAAATTGTGTATGTGTATGTATTCTGAGAGGTATGTTTGACAGCCTGCCCTCCTCTGTTCCTCTACAATTTACTCATTTCTGCCTCCTGCATGTGCCAGTAAAATTGTAGTAGTCATGGGGTGAACTTGGCAATTTAGGCAAGAACAAAAAGAGGGGGGTGTGTGTGTGGAAGGAAACGTGTTAGGAACCTAGTAGATTCTTTTCTGAGCTTTGGATGAACAGACCTTCCAGTCCTAGCTTAATCTAACTCTGATTTTTATAAGTTGTGGGAAACTAGGGGAGTCCCTTGCATCATCTCTGAGCTCTGTGAGCTCCTTCTGCTCTCTGCAAGCTGTTTGAACTGTAAACTCCTTCTCCTACCCATGCCTCATCCTGTCCTCTGTACCCAATATTTTTTTTGATCTGCTTTTTCCTTAGCCAATTCACTTGATTCCCAAGGAAATTGCTTTATTGCCATCCTCCTTCAGCACATGACACCTGATCCGGTCACTCTCTTAAGGAACCTGCGAACAAATAGTACCTATCACAGGAAGCTTTTGGATTTTTTTTGTCTGTTTTTCTTTAATCAGATCAGTTCTAAAGTATGATTCAGTAGATAGGTACCCAGCTTCTTGCTCCAGCAGGGTGCACAGGACAGGAGCAGAAGGTAACAAGGAAGAGCAGGGGTATTTAGACAGACTCACTGATCTATATAAAAGGAGCTAAAGAGCTAAAGAATCAGAGTATATTCTGGAATAATCCTTCAGCTCATGAGAAGTGCCATGGGAGTAACAAGTACAGGAAAAACTGAGATTTTTGGGAACCTAGAGATTGCGTTTTGTTTGGCTCTTTTTTTTTGTTTTTAGTTTAGTTTAATACTGTTTATTAAAGTGAATTTAATTATTACATAGCTATTAACAACTAACTTTCATGATTACTTTGGTAATCAATTGTGTAGTCTGATGTTTTGCCAGAATGAATACAGTTTATCTTTAAACAAGGTGATTTGTTTTCTCTTGAGTGTAGCGTAGTTCTTACATACAGGATTTGCCTGTGTATTGTTTATAGACAAACATGTACGATTTTCTTGGAAAAAAGTCTGTATTTTATTCTTAGATGCACTTCCCATTGAACCTACTTATAAAGAGGTCAGGGTGTATTTTGTTAAGTACAAGCTGCTGGTATGCCATGCTTTACAGCCTTAGTGGGTTTCTGTAAACTACATCATGTCCTTTGTGAGCATAAGCTGCAAGTCAGATTGCTCTGCCTTAGTAGTTCTAGTCTGACATCAAGACTGGGAAACTTAATTTGAAATCAACTATGTCCTGAAGCTATTCCAGTGAACATATGCATTTCATATCCTTTGATCAATAAGACAGTTTGCTGCTTTCAATAAAGAACTCAGAAGTGAGGTTAGCACTTGCTCAGAATACTTGGATCAGACTTTCTGGATATGATTCAACTTTTTGTTACAATGTCATAAAATCTAGGTTAACTCCAGTAATGCTGTAAGTATTCTGCAAAATTGTTATGTAATGTGAATTTCCTTTTCAGTATGACCATTCATGTATTTTATTGTAACTCATATTTTATGTTCATGGAAGTAAGGTTTTGAATACCAGTAAAAAAAAATTCTGTCTGCACTCAGCAATATAAAAGCTATTAGATTCTTCTACTGTAGTAGCAGGTTCAAATTTGCATCAGTTTTCTCATTTATCACCCTATTTAAAAAAAGAATTGAAAGAGTAACAATGCCCAATGCATTTCCCAGAGAGATTATCTGAGTGACACCATCTGTTTTAGGTGCTCTCTCTCTCTCTGTGTTTTCTTAGTGTGCCTTCCTTCAATAAGTAAATCTTGCTTTCAGCTCTTGAGATTATTTCATGGTTGTCAAGCTTTGTATGTATGAATGTTTAGGAAATCTTGATTCTGAGAGTTAATGCTTTCTTCTCCCCTTGGTGTTTGCTTCTGCAGTGTCTTGCCAAAACTACCATTACATCAAAGGCTTTCTGGTTGTCCCAGGACAGAGCCATTCTTTGATCTTATAAAAAAGACCGGGAGAGGAGCAGCAATCTGAGAACTTCTGTCCTGCCTGCCTCACCCTTTCCTTTCCTTTCATGAGCAAACCAGTGTGTCACTTCCCTTTGCTGGGGATGGAGAACTTTCCCAGGGTTCCTCAAGTCCTTCCTCTGCTCACTCCCATCAAGTAACTTCTGCTGCCTGATGGTGTTTGCTGTTAGCTTCTCCTGATGCTCACCTTCCTCTTCTCTTCTTCTCCCCCCCCACACATCTGTTGTTCTTGTTGAATACCTTACTACTTATGCATCCTGTGCCACCTACTCTTTGGTGCTTTACTTATTATTTTTTTTTGCTAATACACCCACCTCTGCTTTTCCTCCACCAACATTGTTTTTTTTTTTCTGTAAAAGAACTTGTTTTGCTTTGAAGAGTATGATTTTTCTTTTTTTTTTTTTTCTTTAAATAGTTGCCTTTATCTCCCATTCATACTTATTTCTCACTTTCTGGCTAATTATGGGATTTAGAGTGAGAACCAAAAAAATGCTGAAAAAAGTTATAAGATTCTGCACAACGTTTCTAATTTATGGATTTCATTTAAAGCTGTGTACTTGCACAAAATCCACAAACTAAGCATATGTATATTTCCAATGTCACCTCTAATTCCCCTTCCCTCAAAACCTGATATATAACACAATTTTTAAATTACTTTCTATTAGAAATGTTCAGTTTTGTAAAAATGAATTATTACCTGTAAGAAATAACATCTTGTTACAAAATATATACTTGCAGTGAGACTTTGAACACTAACTTTACAGATAACTATGCTCAAGAATATCTTACTGTGTTTTTGTTAAAAAATATTTAAAATACTGGCCTAAGAATTTATTGCTAAATTGCCTTTAAGGGGCATTTATAACTTTGGGGACACAGACATCAGTTACACCTATCAATGTTACTATAGATTTTTTTTCTCTCATTTCTCTCATCTCATCTAAAGATGTGCATCTTTTGATTAAAATGGGGAAATCTGTAATCCAAATTCCTAATTTATTTTCCTACTCTGGCACTGATTTTGCTGTGAATCCTAGCTTAAATCACTTCTCTCTGTATTTCAGTGTTTCTCAGCTGTGAAACTGAACAGTATTTCTTCCTGTGTTAATTGAATTTTTGTAAGGCTTTCTGGAAGGCATGATGAAATATTGTTAGCATGCAAAACATAAACATAAATTGCATGTAAACATTTTTAGCTTGCAAACCTCCATAAAGTTGAAGATAACATTCATGAATGAATGACAGAGAAATCTTTATACCTTTTAGGAATGTGTGCCCACTAACATTGCTTTAATTTAGGCATGCTGCCTCTTGTCTTGTATTCCTTTTAATTTCCAGTAATTATGTCTGGATGTTTTTGATCAAAATCTTAGCAAAAGGTAAAGAATAGATTCTCAAAAAGAAATCCTGTGGACCTCTAGTAGTACTCGGAGCACTAGCAGATGATTCACAGAGAGCTGGCTTGCCAAAAGACTGCACTGTCTTCTCCACATTTCTAGCTGCTAGTATGCATCAAACAACTAAAAATTCATGAAATGTTTTCCTAATATTTTTCCATGTAAACAATTCACATAGTTACCACAGGGATCTTATGTGCTCAAGAATGAGAGATGGTCCATGACATTGCAAACAGGAAAGGAAGCATCCATGGAGCTTTCTTAATTAAAATGTGGTCCACCCCATACAAAAACATCTGGAGTCTAAATTAAAAGCTTGGTTAGGTTGACATTTGCAATGCTTTGTTACAAAGGTATTTTCATTTTCATTATTATAAGTGTAGTTTTTGCTTGGAAAAAAATAATTTTGTTAAAATCTGTATGAAACAATGTAGTATAGAAAAAAAGACAATTGAAATTGCATGTTGTGTGACTTGACAAGTTTTTATGTATTGCCTATCTTTGTAAAGGTAAATTGATTTCTTTTGTATTTGTACCTATTTGTATTTTGTGTAAATTTCTACAAATTTGTATTTTGTATTACCTATCTTTGTAAAGGTAAATTGAGTTCTTGATGTGCTGAAATTATAACAATGTTGTAATTGGAGTAATGGTATTTAAAGAATACAAAAAAGTGGAATTTAAGGATACAAAATACATTTTTTGTTTTCTCTTATATTCCCTCTATGCATATGATGTACAGAACGTTCTAGCTCCTGTGGAATTTGCCTGGTGCATGAGTCAACAGAGAACCTCAGGTGTAGAATCCTGCCTTGGGTAAAAGAAGAGCGTATGATGTATCAGTCTAGTGCTGGAGATAGAAGTTAACAATGCACAGTTTCACAGATATTAGCAGGAAAAGTAAAGGATCCCTGAATACATGTTGGGTGTATCCTATTCTTACTATTTAAGTTGGAGCTGTTCAGCCTGAAGAAGAGAAGGCTGCGTGGAGACCTCATAGCAGCCTTCCAGTATCTGAAGGGGGGGCTATAGAGATGCTGGGGATGGACTCTTCATTAGGGACCATAGTGATAGGACAAGGGGTAATGGGTTCAAACTTAAACAGGGGAAGTTTAGATTGGATATAAGGAAGAAGTTCTTTACTGCAAGGGTGGTGAGGCACTGGAATGGGTTGCCCAAGGAAGTTGTGAATGCTCCATCCCTGTTGGTGTTCAAGGCCAGGTTGGACAGAGCCTTGGGTGAGATGGTTTAGTGTGAGGTGTCCCTGCCCATGGCAGGGGGGCTGCAACTACATGATCTTAAGGTCCTTTCCAACCCTAACTGTTCTATGATTCTAAGTATTCAACTTGCTAAGGCCATTTTAAATAAGTCATTGTAGATCACCTTTACCATTATATCTTTCATCTGAATTGTGAGTAACTGCCTGCTGACATGCATTGCAGTCAGTTAAAATTACAATCACATTTAATCTTTTTATGGGTATTCTTTGGGGATTAGCTCTAACTAGCACTTAAGTCAGTTCTAATTTTCAAAAATGTCTGTGCAATACAGCCAGCCATTTGTTTTTACATACCTCAGAAAAGAAAGGAGCTCTGTACTTGAAAGTCAATGAAGCTTGGTTTCTGGTTTGTTTATGTGTTTTCAATACATCGATTCTTAAAGGCAAACTGTAGGAGGGTATAGACAAACCCAGTTTGATCTATTTGCATTTAGCATTGCAGCTTTGAGCCAGAAAATGAAATGTGTATTTGATTTTGATTTAGATCTGTCCCTTGAGACAGTGTGAAGCTGTCTATCACCAAGAATACATCCATATAGGAGGATTAACTGTTCACATGCAGTTTAAACGTCAAAGAGTTTGTATGATTTAATGAAAAACGAGTAATTTGTTTTATTATTCTCTGTGAAAACATAGAACGCCCCTTCTCAAAGTAAATGATTTTTATTTTTAAAACAAAGATTAATAGCACTCTATGGAAGAGTCTGCTGTGAAAGTAAAATGTCCTTAATATGGTTTCAGTCAGTACAATTGGTGTTTCTTCCTCTTATCGGTACCATCAGTGCACTGTATCAGTACCTTCTGTTCCCTGTTAAACAATGAGCAGACAGATGTGATTGCTGTCTTTAGGGTTATATGTATTCATTATGTCATACAGCTTTCTGATTTCTGGGAAAAAATTAACAGTACTTAATTGTCCTCTATGTCAGGTGCTTCTGACATCCTTTTTTGCCTTTTATCTGTGTGGCTAAATCCATCTCTTTTAATAGAGTGTAGTCATTAATCATACAAGTATGACATTTGATCCACATTGAGAAGGTTGCTGTGCATTTCGTTAAATTACCAGACCAGTTCTGTGTGCCAGCTTTTTCATCATGTTTCCCTCCTATTCTACAGTGTATTCTTTTGCTGCCACATTCTTTGTTGAATTTCCCCTATAAAACGTGGCTTTTTTATTTTTCTGTTTTTATTTGCCATTCTTTTCATTGGTTTTATGAAAAAGGCACACATTTCTGTCCCTGAAAATGTTAGCATGTGACTTATCCTATTCAAATCAGTTCCCAAACTGCTCAGAAGACTGAGAATTTTAGAATATAAAAGGGTCTGTTCTGTTTAAGACCAAAGGTCAGCCTAGCCCAGCTATAGGCACTGCAACAATGGCCAAATTAAAATGCTTAGGGAAGTAGGGAAGAGTTTATGAACAGGACTGACATATATTTTGTTTCCCACTTATTCAGTCTGATTCCAGCTATTCAAAGCTCAGAGGCTTCTAGACATAGATGTAATTTCTATGAATTTGGAACCCTTCCATGGTCTTCCTCATTCATGAACTTTCCCAGTTTTATGCTTAAACCCATTTAAAATTTTCTCTTTATGTGACTTCTTTTTTCATGCAAATTGGTCATTTCTCTGTCTTCCTGGCATGAGAGTCCTGTTTTTTTTCAGTCACTGTATTTAATAATTTCTTACATAGAAACAGAACTCCATGGCTTTGATCATTCTTGTTGATCTTCTCTGACCTTTTCTTCTTTCTATTTTGAAACAGAAGTCTCCAGCTGCACTCAGTTGTCAAGATGGGTTGACCCTGTGGATTTGTACTCAGGAATAATTGTATTCCTTTTTTCCTCTTTCCTGATTCTCTCCAGTATTGTTTGTCTGATTGATACTGAACACTGAATTAGCAAGTTCTTGGAAATATGTATCATTATTCCATGATCTACTTCCTCAGCAGTAATGATTAGCTTAGAGCCCATCATTTCGTGTGTGAGGTTGGGTTTAAATTTTAAGAATCTAAAAAACCTTTCAAAGTAGCATGTATCATCCTTTATCCACATGATTCTTGATGAAACCAAAAAAAACAAGGACTGAATATGCATATAACCTAAAGGCTGGTCTTCCGCTTTCAAGATTATGTTTAATAATGTAACTAATGTGGGCTAGCTGAGGCACAGCTGATAGTTTTGGGTTTTTTTTGTGTTCCATAAAAAGTACATGAAATAGAGGGGATATATTTAGGAGACACTTGGGGAGAATAGACAGTGTAGACATGTGGTTTTTAGCATTGGAATTTAGAGAAAGAATTGAAAAATGGGATGGCTTAAGGCATCATTTAGGGCCTGAGTTCCTTTTATTCTGAGAACAGATCACAGGCTGTCTTTATTAACATGGGGAGCGAGAGGGCAAGGGCAAAAATCTTTGTAGTTGGAAAAAAAATTGCTGCAAATTGAATATACTTTAATGCATACTGAGGAGCCACTACATTAAATTTGTCCTGTGTCCCAGGTATTTGTGATACCTCAAATGTATATTTTTCTGCAGTTCATAAGTAAAATACTTTAGCAAAATGAATTAGGCAATACATACTATAAGCTTAAAATATTTATGGTTTAATTTGGTATTGTGCCAAGAAGAGACATTGTGAGGGTGTTATGATTTTGGGGTTATTTCCTATGAGGAAGGATTTTATGTCTGAAGGGGTAGTGAAGTTTTTGTGTTCAAAGTAAAACTTTGTGGACATGTGTCCCATCAGATCTTGATGATACTGGGATGACTGCAAAACATTAGGATATAGTATTTTGTTTCACATATAGTTAAGTTTAGATTCCTTTTGGTCTGCTGTCTCTCATATATTTCCCAGCCTTAGAAAAACACATGCAGACCAGTACCAGGGGCTACTCTGTGAAGCAGCAGCAAACATTGCATCTCATCATAAATTAATGAAGTGGAAAATTAATGCTTTGATGAACATAAGGCCATTGTAAATGAAGCATGAAATATGAATGAATACTGCTTTAATGTGGTAAAAGTGAAGTGGTTCATTCTTATGAGAGGTAAACATTAGAGATTGATAGATACCTCTGGGCAACTTTACTTTCAAGTTGAGATGTATAGTAGTATTTTGAAAACAGGAAAGAGGTATTTTATAGCTGTAAAAACATTTTTACACTGTAATCTGTGAAAAACACTTTATACACAATATGTAGGCCTCGTGCCCAATTAATGTATTACTGCAGGTTCTCTAATTTTTTTTTGGTAAAGAAACAGATATGTTTCAGGAAAAATTAGTTTTTAGTCCTTACAAAATCTTCCTAGGTGAATTTTGCAGGACTTCTTATGAAGATAATACAGTAAATTTTGGGTTTGGTCCAAATGCAGCTAGCTAAGTGTGAAATATAAACTTCCTTTCTCCTGCAGGAGGGGAGAAAGAAGAATTTACTGGTTTTTGTTATAAGAAAAAATCTTTATTAATTCTGACTGAGTTTTGTTAAAATGTAACAGAATTAATGTGTTAGTATAGACGAGGAAATAATAATTTGTTTTGGGTTCATATCTACGTTATCAATGCCTTATTTTCCCTGTCTCTATTTTCTTGTTCTCACTAATGGACTAAAGTATCTGTTTTATTCTGTTTCACTTTTGACAGTTCTTCCTGTACTTCTTGGAATCTAAAATATCCTTCCTTGCTGGCCAATCCTTTTATCCCATTTTCTAGGCTTCTTAATCTTCCTATTGTTCTTGAAGCAACAATTCACTCAACCTTCTCATGGAATTCTTTCCCCTTGCCTGTGATAATGGAGCTGTTATTGTTCTAATAATTTTGACCACAATGTATTCTTATTCTCTTCTGTGCTGTGTGAAGAGCAGAAATTATCCTGGAAAAGGGGCCAGATTTGTGAGTTCCTGGCTATTTTTTTCCTACTGCATCTTGCATTCCTACTGCAGAATATAACAGTGGGAAAAGAGAGCCCTTTTTTAGCTAAGCATGCAATCTAAAAGTAAAAGTTTATTCTAAGAGGGTGGGAGATTATTGTTTGAACCTCATTAGTTTCAAAAGTTAAAAAAACCCTAATGCAACAGTCATTTAACAAAGTCATTTTATAGAAATAGGTTCCAATATTTTCAGCATATTAACTGCCAGTGCAATTTTTTCCTAATTACAGAAAATTAGGTAAATTATTTTACATACATTATACTTCTGCATGCATATGATTACAGAAGCAGAAAAACCAGTCCCGCATTCACTACCTATTCTTGTTTATTGGCTGAATATTGGTGACAAGTTCAGCCCTGCAAGATGCAAGTGAATCTCATTGCTTGTGAAACTTGACCTTCATTAGTTATGGAAAACATATTTCTTGCAATCTTAAAATCTGAATACTTGGAGCTGTTAGGAAAGAAGCAAACAATAAGACAGACATCATTGCTTCTAAATGGATGGTGTGTCTGCACTTGGGTTTACTCTGTTCAGTTCTGTTTCTATGCTCTTCACTCTCCCCTCCATCTTTTTGGAGTAGAGTGCACTTGTGCTGAGAGGTTCCCAGTGTTTGGTTTTTTTTTATCCTGGTGTGATTGCAAGTTTTAGTCTCTTTAGGTCTTAAGCCTGGGACTAAAAGGTGATGTCTTTTATGTTGGTCAGATGGTGACTTTCCAAGACTAGCAGCAGAGCTTTTGTAGTTAAGGGCAAATTAACTCAGTTTGCAGACTTTACAGCATAACCATATTTGACTTCAGGATTGATGAATTGTATTTGTTGTATAGATTTTTGCTTTAAAGTGCCAGGGCAGTAACATGGTTAATGATATCCATTATTATTAGAATGCATACCAGGTTAACAGAACCTTAGCCAAAGAAGTGTAATTTATAGAACTGTGGAGGAAATGCCAACTATTCAGAAACTGTAAGCAGTATTGTTTCTCTACTTTCTCTTCAGCAAATAATAGAAGGGCACCTTTTGAAAAGCTCCAGAGTAATCTGGCTTGTGGGGCATAACTACTCTTTATACGTGACTAACCCACCTGTGCAGAAAACCCAAAACAGGATAATAATTTTCTTCAGTTCCTTGCATCTTGCTACACACTAGAGTTTTTGTGTCACTGGTGTGAATGTGAAATCTTGTTGTTGAGTCCAGCCCTAACTCTCCCTAGAGTGGTAATTCATTCTTCAGCAGTACATATATCTAAAACAAAAATATGAAATTTGATTGTTTTATATTCAGCTACATGCTAACTGCACATAATTGTATTTGGGAAAAAAAAAGTTTCTACTATGTCTTTAGCTACAAAGATATAAATGTTGTGAGTAAAGATTTATGTTTTTGTTAAATGCTTTTTACTCCCTGAAGTGCAATAGAAGAAAATTTCGTACTGAAGGCTACATAAACTCCAAAACTGTAAAAGTATTGTTTTGCTTCAGTAAACTGGTAACTATTCAGAGAGACTCAAATTAAGGAAACTCTGCTGTATGTTTTATTTTGTCCTTCTTTTCTTAACAGCCTTCTTACTGTTGACCTGTTTTATTTACAGACACATACATACCTGTAGACCTGTTTTCCATAGATATAATAGGTTTTCAATGTCTGAGATGGCTGGAAGAATTGATTAACTTTTTTGTTTTATATTGTGTTCTGTTCTTTAGCATACTCAAGTAGCTTTAGACCATCTGGAGACTGTTCCTGAGAAACTGAGCCTGTTAGAAGATTTCAAAGATATTGGAGTAAGATAGATTTCCTATGATTCTTTTAGTACTTCCAAAATATTTTGTTTAATTAATGTCCTCTTCAGATGTATGCATTAATTAATAAGATATGTAACATGACATATGTGCATATTATATAGACAAAACATAGAGAAACCTATTTTCATGTTTTATGAGGTTATAAATTTAGTCCTAATTAGTAATATTGCTGAAATACTCCATCATGTAAACAAACATTGCTAACTGGGCATAATAGGTCAAGTCCTAATTGCTGGTTCAGAATATTTGTATTGAGTGCTGAATTCCGATATGCTCATTGTTAAAAAATGAAAATTTTTAAATTAAATAAATTATATCACATTGACAGTAGTGGTGAAGTTTTGTCAAGTCATAAGCCTCATATCAGATCTTCAGTGGGTAAGTGGCTAAACCACTGTATTATTATTGCTTTCCATATATGAAGTTGGTAGTTTACTAAAGAGAATTTGGAATCTCATTGCACAATATAAGTTTAAAATCAGTATTAAATCACATATCAACAAATGCATAATGAGTTGCATTTTATTTGCTGTGTAGAATTTCTCATTCTGAGGTACTCATAAGCATTTCAAAACATATTTGTTTACAACATTTGTTATTTTAAATGTACTTGCACAAGGTCATGTGTTAATAATTGTATGCTGTTTTATTGTTGTCATCATCAACAGTTAGGAACACAAGTGCTAGTTGAAATATTTGGGTTTTTAAAGAAAAATATTGTTGGGAGCTATAGCTTTAACTTCACATTCCAGGTAACCCCAAAAGAGCTTTTTGCTCTGATGGCGATTGACATTTGCCTTTTGTTTCTGATGGTTCTGCATTGTGACAGGAGAAATTCTGCTCTCAGCTGGGCAAAGCAGAAGCTTGAATGTAGTGTTTCTACAGTCACCTTCACATGTGCATGCTTTTGCTTAATGTTACAATGAAATGCCGCTGTCATTTTCTGATTTGCTGTAGTTATCACTTAGCCAGCATTTGTGAGATTGGAATTCAAATTCTTTGTCTTAATTTGAGCTCTGTCCTTCTCCCTGATGTTTAATTTTTAAGAAGTTTTCTTTTTCTCTTTAAAAAAAGAGTCCTTACCAACAACTGCATACTGTTTATTACATAATTTATTATTCAAGAGAACTAAACTTTATATCTTAGTCATGAGTATGATGTCAGTTTGGAGTTTCATTAATTCCTATATTTGAAAATAATACATTGGATATTTTGTACAATAGTGTATTTTATTCTTAAGGAGTATGTGTGAATGAAGTATTTCAAAGCTATTAATTGCTTTCCATTACTAGCTTGTTCTTCCCTCAGTGTTTTCATAGGAAGGGAGAAGGAAAGAGAAAGTAAGTCTTTGGTAATATCTCACAAGTTGTTTGGTAGTTGTAGTCATTCAGGAGAATGATTATCTAGTTCAGTGGAAGATGTTCTGTTTTCTCATTTGAAGATAGTTCTGTTTAGTCCATATCCTTAGTATGTTGGGTTTTATTTTCTTCGTTTTTTTTTTTTTTCCCAAGTGCTTAATATTTTGCCATTACAGAATTTCTTTCTTAGAAGGCATAATATTAATGAATTTTGGAGTTACAAGCAATCTTTCACCATTTGAGAATGAGGCTGTTCACATTCTAACCCATTTTCATTTTAACATTACATGCTTTTGTGGGGCCTCTGTATTTCAGCCTCTGAAAGATAGTAATTTATTAATTCTTGCTGTATTGAAAATTCTTGGTGATATCTGTGTTTACAGCCAACATTTATTAACTGCTTGTCAGATTATCAAACCATTTAGATCTTTCAATCCATTTCTAGGAGTCCCGTTGCCGAAGGGAGATTATTGAGGAAAGATACACAAAATATAAAGAACTGGTATGTTCTTTACAGCAACAGCTGGAAGATTCAAAACGAATAGTTCAACAATTCAAGGTATGTGTGTGTACTCCACTTTTGTTTCCCAATTACTTGCAGTCAGCCGCATAAGTTTATTTGACGCATATTAACTCCTAGTACAGACACAGACTAAAATCACGCATGAATGTTTCTGTTTTGTGTAGCTGCCATGGCTGATGTAAAATTCAATGACAGAAGCTTGTCTTGTAAAGTGCCATGGATGTTTTTCAAAAATGTTTAAAATTTCAAAGAAAAGTGTCTTACTGAATCTTACAACTCTGAAGGGTTTACCTGCTTTATGAAATTGCTGTCTGCAGCAATTTTTTGATTGGTTTGTTCAATTTCCCCTTGTCCTTTCATGTAAAAGGTAAATACAGAAATCTGTTTCTTTCATGAAAAGGATGATTAATTTTTAAATTTCTTATTATGATTTTTCAGTAGTTGCCCTTTGCAGTCTTTACAAAAGATAAGATGTCTGTTTCATGCATAAAATCCAGGCAGAAAGGGCAAGTGGTTTGTTAGAGATCACTCAGTGGACTGATAACAGGGCTAGGCAAAATTTCCTAACTCCATGCAAGACAAATCCAGTGCTCTAGAAACATTGCCTGTAATGAGTTTACCTTTCCAACTATTGACACGCTTTCTTTCTCTTTGTAATAGCTTGTTCATTGCCATACCATTTGTTACTGAATGTCATTGTGGTAGCAGCTTACTTTGGTAGAACTACAGTTTCTTGTGGACATGACTGAAATAAGTGATCAGAACTGAAGAACCATGCTAGTATTTCAGCTACGTATCACAGTTGAATCAAGATACTTTAGCAATGAATCTTACCAGTTTCTTTAAGCGTTGAGCTAAAATCTACTATATACATACTGTGTATAAAACCCCTTTGTTTGTGTTCCCCACCTCTTCCATAGTGGCCTTCCTTCTGTAAAATGAAGGCATACTTAGCAGTAGGTCTTTTTAAAAGTCAAAAAAGTAAAATAAATACAGAGTATTTTAGCTCAGTTAAGTTGCTGTGGTAGAAGAAGGTATTAAGCTGCTTGAAAAAGCCATCTTGCTTTTCTGCCAGAAAGAATTGAAACAGGACAGATTTGGTTTCAGTCTATTGCTAATGATAATCTTCGCTTTCTTGAATTTCTCTTGGCTTCACGCAAGAGTTACTAATTCAGTAGCCTCTGAAATTTGGATAACATTGAAAAGCTAAGTGGAATGCAATCAGCTGATGGTAGAATGTAATATTGCAGTAAGCTGACTGAACTTACTGAGCTCTTGTGATTTGAACTCTATATTCAGAATCCAGTACAAATCTGATTCCAAAACAATATTTCCTCTTTAGACAAAAGAGAGCATTTAATGGCTTCCATTTAGTTATGCCTAATTGGGATTTTGCATGACATACAGTACTCTTTGCTGTCATGGCTGTTACAAATAGAACAGAATGTTCAAAACCAAGTAACAGACGGGAGCTAATCTGATTTTAGTGATCAGGCTAGCTTAGTCTAAAAAAAACCTTTTTTATGTTTGCCTTTCTCACCCTCTCTTGGAACTAACTCAAATGCATTGCTATTTATTTTTATTTATTTTACTGTTTGTCAACTGCTTGTCTTTGAAATTGATTGGTGGAAGAATGTAGAGTTAAGGACATCAAAATTCATTCTTATAGTTTTGATTAATGCTCTATAGATAACATAGTGCTTTTGCTATACAAAACAGACAGTCATTTGGTAGGTGATAAGAAAATGCATGTTTTTAAAAGGGAGTTCTTGTAAAATTTGTACATTGACCATTTAAGATAAAATTATTTATGGAATTAATCTTTTTCCTTTGTTATGATCTTCTTTCTAGCCTTTCATGTTGTACAGCTCTTTCCCTTTCCTTGCTATTATTAATCTCAGACAGGCATTATCTAATCCTGTGTCCGAGCCTCTTCATTTTAAGGAGTAAACATGAAACTGATGTTGAATGTTCCCCTAATAGCAGTTACTTTTCTTCCTTTCTTATGATTTCATTTGTCCCCGCTCAGTCTTCCTACTCCTTTGTAGTCTTGTCAAATGGCTGTAAAATACCTGCTGGGTAGAAGCCCAGGAAAATCACAGTTCCTGTTTGTATGTGTTAAAATGTAAGATTGCCAGCAATGAAGGCGGCCAGAGTCTGTCAGAGTACCATCAAGTACAACAGTCATGACTTTAAGAAAGGACAAGTGATAGTAGATAAAGAAGGAGTTGGGGGAAAAGAAGATAAATATAGCACATACAGTAAAATAAATAATAAAGAATACCATCTGAAGCAAAATCAAAAGGGAAAGCTAGAGGAAAACTAAAGATAAATGTTATGATTGATAAATGTAAATAGTTTAGTTTCCCTGCCACGAATTACTGACATTCTAGTCAAATACAGCATACAGGTGTAACTGTAAATGAAGCACATGAGTAAAGAGAAAGCCATTTTGTATTGCCAATGTTGGTAGAAGCTCCTTGCTTGTTTAAAAGCCCTGTTCTAAAATAGCATTTCTGGAAGCAGATTGAAAAGACAAAAACTTTTCTTATTCTTTAAAAGTTGTTATTGTTCTATGTACACTATAGGTATTAAGTCTCACATCAGCACATAAGGGGATTAATATGTATAATTCCCATTAGTCTTAATAGGAGTAAATCCCTTTTCAGTGATGGGACAAAAGCTCATTGTATCTCTAATGTTGAATTTTATTTTGTTTTCTGTTTAGTTTTCACATCTTTTTAGCAGCATGAATGATAAATTGCAAAATATTTTAACAAAATTCCCTGAGGCTGTTTATGATAAGAACTCAGTAGCAAAACTGAGTGTTTTATGAACTGGTGCATTTGTGTATTATTGTCTCTTCTCATTTAAAGAAACTGAGTAATTTGGATACTAAGCCAAGCTTTTAATCTTATTTTGGAAGGTATTGCAACTGGGGTCTACTTGCTGCAATGCTAATAAAGATATATGGAGATTTTTGTTTAAATGGCATTTTTAAAATGATCCTTTTTTAGCTTATAGACCAAATGACTTCACTGTCATTCAGCTGTGCTGAATGGGTCTGGCCATAAATAGGAACATGGTACTTCAGACTTCAATAGTTTTACAAAAAAATGAAAAGCAGCTTCAAGTATTTTGATATGAGAAAACAATGAAGTTTCATTTTTTTCAGTGGCAGCGAAAATGAATGTAATTTTTATTATTACCTTTTTTTCTGATTCTCCTCACCATTCCACTGTGGGCAGCAAGGGGAAGTGAGTGAGTGGCTGTGTGTTACTTTAGTTGCTGGCTGGGGTTAAACCATGACAACAACATGACCATGGAACTTCACTGAATTAATGTGGACCATTCATTGATGAGGGATTCATCATTCACTGATGTCTGCCCTGCCACTGTGCTTTGACCTGAACTGTTGATGTGATGTAAACAGTAAACTTGCTGTAGTGACAAAACCTCACACTATTTCTAATACTTTTCTCAAGGCAAAGTATTTTTTTTTTTTTTTTAGAGAGATTGTGTGATGAATTGGGCTTGAAATTCAGAGACAAATTAATTTAAACCTAACTGCAACACTGAGAATTCTGCAAATTCAAATCAGTATTTTCTAGCATGGGTGAAATCACAGCATATGCCTGTATGTGTGCTGCTGTATGTTTTTTTGATAAAGTTTACAGCTGTTTATTTGGCTTCCACAGAATGTGAAAATGGATGCTGAAATGTCAGATACAGAGCTGGTTGCTCCGTCTTCTAGTTGGCAAACTCAAAACAGCTTTTTGTCCAGATCACTGCTCTCCAATTCTGGTTGTAAGTATCGTTTCATAGAAAAAAATCTACTAGTAATGTATTTTTTTCTCTTAAAGCTGTTTTACTTGAAAGAGTAAGACGCTCTACTTTTCAACAAAACAGAAGTAATGCTAGAACCATCTTAAGCGTCTTCCTGTGTTTTGGCTTTAGATACTAGACAGATGCCTTTGTCTAGGAAGTACTTCATTACATCCCACTGATAGTTAACTTTATTTAAGTGGGACATACAATATATTCTGTCACCCAAATTTATGCCAGCAAAAAAGGGCTGCACTTAGAAAAAGTGCACTTAGATTCTGGGTCTCTGCTTGAAGAATTTTACCTGTGTAAACTGAATATCTTTTCAGGTACCAGCGAGACATCCTCAGCTAAGGATTCTTTCCCAGGTCTTTCATTTGTACTAGTTAGTCTGTGCTTGTGTAGCAGTTTAACAGTGAAAGTTGAATTCACTAATTCTGCTTCTATTTCAGTAGTTGTTTTTAACTATTCTTTCTGTCCCTTAGTGCATATACAAGTTCAGGTCATGCAAGGCTATGGGATTTCTGATACAGCCTCAAGCTGCTCAATAAAAGATAGGATATTAGATTTTTATCTGGAAGAGATACACCTTTGCATAAGTGTCAAAACTAACTTAAAAACCCTTAGAAAGGTTTTCTTTGGGGGTTTGTTTGGTTTTTTTTTCTTAGAAGGGTATGACCTTCCATTTCTTTTTAATATAGCCAATTTGTGTACTGGGAACCTATTCAGTAAGTTGCATTCTATGTAATGGCAGGTCCTATTTCAGGCTTCATTGCACTTTCAAACCTTTGCATTGTAGAATGAGTGCTGCAGTACATTACTGCTCACCAGTAAGTCGGGAGTTCATCTGATGAGGTTAAAGATAATTGGTTTCTTTTCCCTTTAGAATCTGTGGGTTGTGATTAATGTATTTCTGCAGAGCATACTGAATAACAGTGTTAGGAATAAAGCATAACAGCAAGTGCCTCCATCTCATCTGTACTTCAGGAATAATTTCCCCTGACTCAGAGTTGTTTTTCCATTTTTCCTAACCTCATCCCTATCAGTCTTGCAAGTCAAAGTATAACTCAGCCTGGTATAGAAAAGAAATAATCCATACCTTGCGGGCATGTTGGACTAGATGACTTCCAATAGTCCCTTCCAACTTCAACAGCTCTGTGATTCCATTGCAAAAACTTGTTGAAATTTAAAGAGGCAGCATAAATGTTCCTAAAATATTGCAATATCTTTATACTGCTTAACCTGAATGGAACTTGCTACGACACTGTTGCTTTAGTAGTTTTTAATCAATTTTAGGCAACTGTCAGAGAAAAATGATCCATGTGATCTGAATACCTATCTCATGATCCAATTGTGCATATTTATTCTCTGATTCAACCATTTTTTTTTTTTACCAGCACTGAAAAGAAGGAAGTTAAAAAAAAATTGATGAATGGAAGAGACAGTAGTGATTCAATAAGTCAATAATTATGAAATATTTACAAAGTCTTTAGCATTTGAAACCATGTTCAGGCATGGCCCGGGGGCCATGGCTTCTTCTTTTTTTTTTTTTTTTTTTTTTTTTGAAAACTTTTAGGAAGGTATTTTCCACATCATAAATTAAGCTGAACTTCATATTTCATATTTTCCAAATCCCAGAGCTGTGCTGAGAGTGTTTTTAATTTTGCTCTTTTGCCCAGATGGTAAAAAGCTATTAAAAAAAAAAGGGGGGGGGGGAGGGATGTGCAGAATGACAAAAAATGTAAAGAAAACAGTGAATATGTTTTACTTTTTCCTATTTGATTTTAAGGGAAAGAAACTGGATACAAAAATCTTTAGAGTTTGTTTCTTGCATTCTATAAAAATCCATTAGTCAGATTTTCTGAGGATAAAACAGAGAAGTAGGCATAGAATGCTTTTTCAATCTGTGATTTGACTCCGAGGGAGTGAAGATGGTGTTCTTTATTTTTCACTTTGCTATTCTTTACTTCCAAGAGTTAGTGCTATTGCATGTTTTTTATGCTTAGTAAGTAAGTATGAGAGAAAATGCTTGATGTCATTTCAGATGTTCTAGAGTATACTTCTAGCTGTCATTTCAGGAAGGCATAGATTTCCCGTAGGTCCCAGCACATCTTTTGCAGCTCTTTGTAGATCTATGTGGTAGTTTATGGCACTAAGGTATGTGCATTACTCCATAGATTTTTGGTTAGTGACTGAATGTTTTACCTTTATGCTGAACCTAATCTCCACCAGTGAAATGTGTATTTTGAAGTTGCTGCTATAGTTTTTGAGGACAGTGAAAATTCTGCAGTGGTATTAACATTAAAGAGCTTTTTTTATAATTGTCAGTGAGTGGCAAATGATAAAATCAGCTGCTTCAGTCATGTTAGTCACATGAATAACATGAACTTTTAATTTCAGTAATGATATTAATTAGTTATAATTTGAGACTTTGACAGCAAAGTATAATTTGAGGTCTTTTGCTCCCAAATCCCCTGTAGCTTTTAATTAATCTACCTATAAATGTCGTCAACTAATTTCTGTGATGAATTTATCTCCTTACTTCTTCAGAAACAGAAGAATGGACTTTTTATTTTTTCATTTAGCTCTTGGAGTAGTTTGCAAGCCTTTCTGATTTAATGTTTCCCCACTCCACCTCTCTTAAATTTATGAATCCTTGCAGATTATAGAGTCAATAAGTAATACTCGAAGCTCCCTTCCCAATGTGGGTCTCTTATGACTTGTGGAGAGCACCAGGAAGGAGAACAGACAGGTTTGATATAGTTTAATTTATCTGCAAGGGGAATCCTGGGATTTAGGTTTAAAACAGGTTGAAGAAAGAGAGACGAAAAGTATGAAAATATAAATAATGGAACAGCAAGCTCCTTCCATATATATAAAGTTGCCAGTGCAGCAGGCAGTTAAAAGGAAAAGTGATTAACATTAACATTCTGTTTTATTTCTGGTCTTCATGTTTCTGGTATTATATCTACAGTTATAACAGCTTTTCCATATCAAACTATTTTAAAGATGCTGTGGGAATGAAGTTTTATTTTATAACCATTTTCTTAGAAAGGAAGACATTTAACTGAGAAAATAATTTATGCAAGAAGGCATTCATCAATCATGCTTTGCACTCTGAATTGTGAGGCCAAGACAGTTGGTCAGTGATGTCTCTTCTGGTTGTCATCTAAAGAATAATTCTCAGAAATTGTTTTCCATGGCCACTGTGTTTTTTTTTTTTAATATTGTATTACAATGGTACCTGGAGTCACACATGCTTTGCTTTAGCTTTGTGAATTGGGTCCTGCCTTTCTCACTGCACAGTTCATCACTTTAAGGTTTTAACCACATGGCTTTCAGGCTTTCTGTTGTTGTTGGGAATTTATGTTCCAGGGCTTCATAAGCTATGACTTTATGAAGAAGAAAATAGCCACCAGTTTTCCTAACTTCTGTAGCTAGAATCAGAGTCTTCTCTGAAGCTTCGGCTCTGGTGATGCGCAACACTGTTGTGTCAATATGATATACAGAAGGAATGAGATCATGGTTCAAAAAAAACAAGTTGTCCTGAATCTTGATTTTTATTGTCATAACAATTAACTCATGCATATGCTGATATGTCTTTATACTTCTGCCTGTGCTTTTTCATGAGTTCTTAAGACTACTTGTATTTACATGTATAAATAAATTAATTAAAAGTAAAAAGACATTGTAAAATTGTAGTGCTGCAGGGCACCATTCTAGAACAAAACCTTCTAACACTGCTCTAGGACAAGAACCTGGAATAATTGGAAACTTGACATAATCTCTTTGAAAAATACAAACTGATATAGTTTAGCAATGAATTTTCTTTATGATTTTTCACTTTACTTTGAATACTAGCTACAGGAAGTACTCCTAAAATAGCATGTGGTAGCATAGTTTTTGGCCAATACTGAAAACTTTGTGCTGACAAATGATAACTTGCAAGTTTACTTATGTACCAAACACAGTGATTTCATTCTCCTTCTAAAAGTGAAAACATCTCACTGCTCCTAATCAAACTGTGAAGACTTGCTCCTTATTAAATAAATTTTGGCTATATACTGCCGCAGTTTTACTGGACTGCTGAAAAATTGCACTCTGGACAGTTATTACAAACAATCAGGAAGGACCACTTTTCTTATGATGTAAGGAAGGCCATTAGAAGGGTATAAGGTGATACCCACTTTCTTCCCATTAATTTATGCCTTTTGTTAAATAATACCTATATGCTTGGATATTTGGACTTTTCCTCCAGCACTTTATCATAAAATGTTCTGTCAATTCATATAGTCTAGATTTTGATGCAATAAAATGTATTTAGAAATAAGTATTATATATGCACTGTGCTATACATACAATCGTGTGGCATCCTATGTGCCGTGTGGCACTGAATTTGTTCAGTGCCACTTGTTGACTTTAGTCCATGCTATTGGTAAAGATATTCCTTCAGAATTTTTTTGAGTGTTTTTTTGTCTGCCTTAAACAAAAATGCTGGAAAACTAAATGGAAAATAAGTGTTAGTGGAATTATTAAATAATTAAAAGTCCAATTTACATTTTTTCTGTATAAGAAAGCTTTTGGCCTTGCCTGTATTATATAGTATTAAAATCTGTATATATTGCATAATGAAATATATTTTTCATATAAATATTGATAGTCAGCAAAATGTGTGCATTTCTCTGAAGAGGTTTAATTTTTTTCTTTTCTTTTGTCTGACTTATTTCTAGCATTTATGAAAAGAATGTCTCCTTTTGATACAAGTGCCACCAAGGAAGGTTCCGTTAATGTTGCTGTCAGTGAAGTGAAGCTTCAAGCAGAAAGAGGGAAGCCGTAGAAAATTTTACAAAAACACACCATCTTTCTCTGTGGTAAATTCCCTTCCACTCTTTTGGGGTTTTGAACAGTAATAATTCCATGTGTTATAGGAGTTATGTAAGCAAACACTTACATAAAAGAGCACAAAGAGTGAGCCTAATGAACTCCTGTGGTAATTTATGTAACTCATACACCAAAGATTTTCAGGGATTACGCTATTCTCTTGTATTTGTTTCTGCAGTCCTCGTAAATGAAATTTATTCTGTTCCTAAAATACCATGAAATGAAAGACCTGTGAGATTAATCTTTGTTATCAGCTTATTTACCCCTGTACAGGAATTGTTCTGACATGTGTTTTTTTATAATCTTTAATAACATTATTAATGAAAAATAATCAGAAACTACCTTTGTCCTAGTATTTATTATGAGTCATTATACAGTGTTGTGCAGACACATAGGTGGTTTTATGTTCTTCATAGAAGCATAGAATCATGGAATGGTTTTGGTTGGAAAGGACCTTAAGATCATCTATTTCCAAGCCCCATGTTATGAGCAGAGACATCTCCCACTAGACCGGGTTGCTCAAGGCTTTGTCCAACCTGTCCAGTGCCTCACCACTCTCGCAGTAAAGATTTTCTTCCTTACATCTAACCTAAACTTCCCCTGTTTAAGTTTAAACCCATTAGCTCTTGTCTTATCGCTACAGCCCCTGATGAAGAGTCCTTAGCCAGCATCCTCGTAGGACCCCTTCAGGTTTTAGAAGGCTGCTATGAGGTCTCCACACAGCCTTCTTTTCTCCAGGATGAACAGCCCCAATTTTCTCAGCCTGTCTTCATCTGGGAGGTGCTCCAGTCCCCTGATCATCCTCGTGGCCCTCCTCTGGACTTGTTCCAACAGTTCCATGTCCTTTTTATGTTGAAGACACCAGAACTGCACACAATACTCCAAGTGAGGTCTTACGAGAGCAGAGTAAAGGGGCAGGATCACCTCCCTTGACCTGCTGGTCACGCTCCTTTTGATGCAGCCCAGGATACGGTTGGCTTTCTGGGCTGTGAATGCACACTGCCCGTTCAAGTTCAGTTTCTCATCTAGCAACACCCCTAAGTCCTTCAGGGCTGCTCTGAATCTCTTCTTTGCCCAACCTGTAGCTGTGCCTGGGATTGCCCCAATGCCAAATGATAAAAATCATTTAAGAAAAAAGTAATAAAAATTGGACATAACCAAACTTTTTCAAAATCAATGGAAATTTATATTATGATTTCAGGTTCAGCATGTGTCTGTTATAAGTTGTTTAGGATTATTCTTTTGACCAGAACAGCTTTATCAGATGGTCACTGGTAAGGCACTTAGCATCTGAATCTCGCCCATCCATATTAAGCTTGTGGAAGGGCACTGCTGTGTGGGTAAGAAAATTTTAATAGCAGGATTTAATACAAATTTATTTATTCTAATTTCCTGTCATATGTGTCATATTGATTTTAAAATATTATGGAAATGCATTATTTCACGGTTGTATTTGTTCAGATGTCTCTATTCTAAACAAATTGGATACAATTCTATGTTACCATGGTCTTAAACAGCATATCACAGAAGAATTTTCTGCTGTCAGAAGAAATGCAAGTGATGCTCCTTGTTTTATTCTCTTCTTGAGTGTTTCTGGGTTGAGTCACTAATATTGTGCCTTAAAGATTTGCCAAATTTATCAGAATACTCTAGCAACGTGAACATCATCGAAACCATTTTGGTCTGTGGACTTCTTTCATATTTAGGAAGCCTAGTTCTTTGAAACACTGTCTTTGTTTAGCACTGTAGGTGTCTCAGACATATTTTATTTTGCAGGTCACTGTGCCACCTAAAAAAAAGGACCTTTTTTTTTTTCATTTTCTAATTTTATGAAGAAATGTTCTGTCCTCTGGACAGTGTACTTTCTTGACAATCCCCTTTGATGCAGCCTGTTCCAGACAGAAATTCTTGCTGAGAATATCAAAGTCAGACAATGAAATGAGAAAAGTAAAATCCTTTCATTTTCTATACCTTTAAATTACTTAAAAAAGAAAAACAAAACAAAAAACTAATTTTCATAAAAAAGTTTTCTTTACCTTTTGTATGTGAATAATGCTATGCATTGGAGTGCTGGAATGGACTTTTTTGCAGACTCCCGGCACATCTGCTGCTTCAGAAGGTCAGGAAAGCTAACCAGGCACATTCATCGGTTCTGATCTCAGTAGCAATGACAGGACCAAGAAAAAACAAAACACAGCAAAACAAGTAAGCTTCTACTCTAGAGAAAGCAGGATAGATAGAAGCCCATTTGTGTCGTGGTCTATGAAGAGTGTGGATGTCAGGAAGCAGTGTTTAACTCAAGCCACAGTTACCATAAACTAAACTTACTTTAAATGTATCTAACATTTATAATTTGTTTTTTTTTTAATTAGATCAGAGCACAGTTGGAAATATGGTGTTTAAAATATTTCAGCTGGTTTGTCTGGTGAAACAGTAAAAAATTGCAAAATAAAATGTCAGTTTGCAAATTTTATGGTACCCACAAATTATGGCTAAAAATATAGAAAGGTATTTTTTAAGTATACTATACAACAGTAAATCATGCTCTCAAAACACCTTGTCTTCTAATGAGGTCTGGTGCATATATTGCTGATGGGTAAATATATGCCCTGCCTGCTTTACTAAAGTTGAAATGATTTTTGAGGTAAAGGGTCTGTTGGTAAATGAATGGGTCTTTAAGAGTCTAAGCTGAGAAGTGATACATAGAAAATTATGTCCTCTCTTTTTCCTAAGAAATCTGTAAAAATCTGGATATTGATTTCCCTCACCATATTATTTATACTTTTTTTTCATTTGTAACTCAGAAATGTATGTTTCTTTAAAACAGTATTGCTTCTGCTTTATAGTGTTAGAAAACTAAGAATAAGCAGTCTGAACTCCCTCATCTTTACATCAACTATTGAAATTATTTTTGTACCATGCGGGACAGAAATTGCTTCTAGGTGAATGATTTTGGCTTTAAGACTTTAAATATGCTCAGGGCTTAATCTGTTTGCCTTGAGCCATGTGACTGGGTTTTCAGCAGAGTTTTATATCCTTTTTAAAAATTTTCTAAATGGGCTGGGGGAACAGAAGGGAAGAAGTCAAACAACCGAAAAAAGAGAGGAATTTTTAATGACTAGACTTATAGATTCCTAAGCCAGGAAATTCTTTCTGCCCTCTTGGCATGGCCATCCAGATAGCCTGTAATATTTTCTCTCTTTCACCTTTGGTAGAGGTTCATATTACAAAGTGAATTTTGTTTCCTTTTTACTGAAGGCTAAAGTTCCGTTCATGACATTATGTAAAACTGTCCCTTTGTGATTTAGGAAATAATATTTTTTCCATAGTGGCCTGAAATAAGACTCTTCTAACCAGTTTCAGTTTTTAAAGTAGAAAAACTGAGAGGTTTTTTAGCAAAACATTTTTTGTATTTCAGGTCTTTAAAGTTGCTGTCCCTTTTGATAATCACTTCTTTTTTTTTTTTTTTTCCCCTATGTTTTAAAACTTTAATGACCTGTTCCTCAATTCCTGCCCAAAGCAGTAGTTTTCAAAAATCAAAAAATATGGTATCATACCTACGAATGGTGGTTTGTTCCTTTGTTCTCTTCAGCATTTGGTAGATCAGAAATCTTTGTATGTATGTACTAAATACATTTTTAACAAGATGATATTAGACATCCATTTCTTTAATGCTGTCACTGCAGTGGTTCAGTATAGTGCTTTCTGAAATGCACTGGCCTTTTATTTTAGCATCAGATAATTGTCACTTGAATAACCTTTAAGTTTTATATCCATCAGTTCCTTAATGCTTTACAGCAGACTTGATTACTTTTTTTAAATTGCTTTTTGTGATGGTATTTACTAAGTATTTGCTTTTATTATGTAATTATGTCATCCTAAGAAGAAACATAAAAATAAAACTTTTTCCAGGATAAAAAATAAAATTCTATAGTATAAAACAAAGCAATTTTCTTACATTGAATTCTCAGATTTTGATGGGTGTAGTGGTGGTGAAAATACTCCCTGGATATTCAAACCTCAGCCACATTTTCACAAGGTGTCCCACCAAAGTAAATAAAGATATATTGAAATTCCTTAGACCAAAGAGAATACTATTCTAAAATCCACTTTTGATCTAAGGAATCTACATATCAGTTCATCTGTGGATTGCAAGACATAGTCTCTGCACTATGTAGCACTGAATGGATTTTTCATGAATGAAAATGCCAATATTACTCTGAAAATAAACAAGTAAGTATTTTTGTAACACTGTTACCATTTTTATGGCTCAAAATGAGTAGTATAAAACCTGAATACATTCTCATATCTACATATCTGATATTCTCTTTGCAAAAGAAATTATTTGTAAATTTATGTGGGAATGCTTCATATAGTCGAATTTTACCATGGGTCTGTTAAATTCTTTGCATTCAAAGGATGTTAGTAATATATTTATCTCTCTCAGGACCGTCTTGACCTCACAGAAGGAAGTGATATTGAGGTTAATGTGAGCTGCAGGCTGGTATCTGGGGATGCAACCTTGTCAAAAATGGACATCACAGAAATTACTGTGGTTTTGATCTAATTGTAGAATTTAGAAGCAGATCTAGAGGAAAACCTAGTAGTAGAAAGAAAGAAAAGCAGCTCATATTAAATGAGAATATTGGAACACTTTTATTCTTGGTTCCATAATTTAAAACCTGCTTTAGACCTAGTATGCACATCTAAATGAAAGTGATCCCTCAATAAATTATTTTTGTTACATACTAAAATGCTCTATAGCGCAACTTATCTCAACTCTTTGCTGTAAGCATGTCTAAGCTGTTGTAGTATGAACTGTTTTACTTTTCTGTGTAAAGAACTAAACCAGATGTTAAATCTGAAGAACACTTTAGTGTTCTATACAGAAGTAGAGCAGAGCAGAATTTGGCAGTCTCAGTTTTTCAAAAATCTGTAAACTAATGCCTCTGGGAATGTTGACAACAAAAATGAAAGAGATTGCTGTGGTTAAAATACAGCAACATACAGCATTTATCATTCCTACTAGCAACAATAGCTGTCATGTTTCTAAAGCTAAAGTTGCACGTCTGCCATTTCTCAGGTTGCAAGGATGAGACTGGTTTCTCTTGCCTTTATAGTGGCAAAATCTGTAATGTCATGAGCCTTGAGCAAACACACAGTGATGATATTTGTTTTAAATTTCTAGTCATTTTATTTAGGTACCTACTTGGTGCTATTTGGAACTAGATATTTTTGGAACTTGAACGCTTAACAAGTTTTTGTTAAAGGATTACATTTAAATAGAAGGACTGCATCAAGAGATTTCTTTTAGGATAATTCTGCTATCTTTATTTAGGGATGTGACTCCTTAATAGGTATTTTGCTTCAATAAATGCAGCAATTGTTCCCATGTTGTCTCTTATTTTCATCTATCTTCAAACCAGAGTTGTTTTGATCTTAGACTACTTTTCTCCTCTGCCATTTACAGTCTGCTAGCATATCAGAAGACATATCATCATTTATTTGCTTACCCTATATTAATAATTTGGGTAGTTGATATGCCCAAGGAATTGCATTAATCTTGAAAGCAGTTGTATCTTATAATATCTTTTCATATCAGTTGTCATTTATTTGTTTAGTAAAATAAAACCCACTTGGTAAACTGACTGTCAGATCACATGTTGCCTAATTTTAAAAGTTATTACACAGGTAAAAGTAAATGTGTCTAAGTACATTTATCTAGATTTTCTAAATGCTACTGTTCATTCTACTATCAGATTGTAGAGATAAACAGCAAAGTATAGACTTTGCTGCAATAACCCTGAAAAATCACTAATCCAGGCAGAAAAGGTACAATTAATTCAGGAGATCTGCCTAAGTGCATGTTTAGTCTAAAACCTAAAAGAAATAAAAATCATATTATGAAATATATTTCTTTAGTGTGTTAATATCAAATTGTTCTCAGTAGAAACAGTTGCTGGCATCTAAAATATTTCTAGGAAGTGAACTTTGCTAGAGATGAACACAGTATCATTCTGCATCACTCATGTTCTTAAACAAGCATTGAACTGGGAAGCCAGCCCAATTTATGTACTGACACTATGCTCTGCAGAAACCACCAGTGACCCAGTTTTGTACTTAGAGTGGAAGGCAATGAAGATAAGCTGTATTTTATTGCTGGCCAAATGAGCAGTTTGGATCTGTGGCATAAGCTACTTCGTGTGTGGAGCTCAATGAATGCACCGTTTTTAATCAGGCTTTCACAGCCAAATGCAGCACTGGCAACACAATGCCATCCAAACAGCAGCAACTATGAAGGCATTGCGTAGCTCCAGAATTTTTCTTATACGTTTTGACTAATAGAATTTCAATAATCCCATCAGAAACTATGGAGCCATTCGTTTTGTCCTCACTGGAGAGGTATCCAGTGCAGTCTTAAAGCTAGAAAATGCAGACACCTTAGTCAGTATGAGCTCCATCAGTGGTGAGGCTCAGAAGAATGTAAATCTGTTAGCATGTTGCCCATTGGTTAGAGGTACACTAACAAGAGACTAATCAGCAAAGTTTTAAAAAAGTAGTCAAATCTCTCTTACTTGGTGGATAAAAAAACCCTTTGAAAATGGAAAAATCAAGTACCAAAGTCTAGAAACACTTCATTTTTTCATACTGCAAGTAATTTCTTAAACTTCACTATAGTGGCAGCCTTTTATAGACTATCTTGAAGATCCTGACTATATTAATCAACAGACATGAATCCCATGTCCCCTCACTACAAGACATTGAGGTACTGGAGCAGGCTCAGAAAAGGGCAACAAAGCTGGTGAAGAGCCTAGAGCACAAGTCTTATGAGGAACAGCTGACGGAACTGTGGTTTTCTAGTCTGGAGAAGAGACAGCTCAGGGGGGACCTTATCTCCTTTCTACCTGAAAGGAGGCTGTAGTGAAGTGGGGTGAGTCTCTTCTCCCAAGTAGCAAGCAATAGGACAAGAGGTAACAGTCTCAAGCCGCACCAGGGGAGGTTTAGTCTGGATATTAGGGAAAATTTCTTCACAGAGAGGGTGATCACACATTGGAACTGACTGCCCAGGGAAGTGGTGGAATCACTGTCCCTGGAAGTGTTCAAAAACCATGTAGATGAGGCTCTTAAGTGACATGGTTTAGTAGTGGACTTGGCAGTCCTGGGGACTTGATGATCTTAAAGGTCTTTTCCAACCTAACTGATTCTATAATTCCCTGATTCTAATTATGTTCTGTAGCTTAGGAAATTGTGTTATGTGCACTGTGCACTGAATATCAGACTTGAAATAACTCAGTGGAGATAGCTGATGTGCTGTGTAAGGAGTGCTGGCTGGTACAATGTACTTTAACAAACAGATCAAATGTTCAAATTTCAGACTGGAGGTAAGAGTGTCCATTCAGTGTATTATTGTGGTTCTGAAGGTCAACCACTTTTGAGGCTGAATTGCCTATATATGCTTATTAGCAATTGCTGATTTTTTTTTTTCCTTTGACAGTGTGAGAAAAAAATATGTTAGTCATTTTTCAGTTCTGGAAATGTTTTGTCATTTTATGCTGCTGGTTTCTATTTAATTTGGGGATAACTAAAAAGCAACTAACTGATATCTCATTACAAGTACTCCAAATTAAGTTAGTTGATGCATGAGTCATTTTCCTCCAGATTTTTTTTTTTAATTTAATTTGAATAAAGTACAGTGTTTTAAAATCTAGTATTGTAAAACTGGAACAAAATCAGTCTTGTGATCTAGCATTTAAGTTGGGAAATTCTAAAACTAAGAGTGCCCAGGTGTCTTATGCAGTGACACTGAAAGTATTATTTCAGATTTCACAGTTAACTATTGCCAGTGCCGTACATTATAAAGTGACCTTAAAGAATCTGCAGAATTTCAATGAATTACATGGATGCAGGATGTCTCTGCACTGGTGTGGAATCAGAAAGGTAGATTTAATACCTTGTTGCCTTGTTGAACCTGTTCATGTAATGGAGATAGGCATATTGGAATGAAATTCCTCAACATGCAATTATTTCCTGACATAAAGTCCCTGAAAGATTTTTGCCTGTAGCTAAGCAAGGATTCCAGCTCCTGATTTAACAGGCTCCCTGACACATTCCCATATAAGCTCAACTCTCAGCAGTGTTTTAGTGACAACTGTGTGAAAAAATGTGTATCTGACTTTTCTTTGTTAATTTTTCATCATATTTATCCTTTATTATAAATTTGATTCTGTGTGGACATATAAACATGCTGCTACTTCTCTTTCCTATAAAATGCACCAGAAAAACGCAACATATTGAAGCTGACATTGTAGGAACCGGAACTATTGCAGTTGCCTACAAACTTGATTTTTGAAATGTAAAGTTGTGTTCATGTAGAGGTCATGTATAGTCTGTTCACATAGTTACTTATCTTTCTTATAGACATTGGCATAAACATGTTTATATGCTGTAAAACTTTACTGGTCAAAAAATCCTTTCTGGTTGGAGATCCTGACTACAGTAAAGCTAGCAGAGGCCTTGTCTCTAATATCAAGTAGAGTTACAATTTCGTGCTGAGTTTGAGAAGAGAGGAGAAATATTTTTTCACCCTACTTTGTAATTTTATTTATGAAACTAACACAGCTGTCTTGAGAATTATGAATTAGAAAAAATACAGAATCCTTAAGATCATCAAGTCCAGCCTATCTGCTTGACTATTACTTTCTGTGAATCACATGGATGTACATAAAACTATGTCTACAATTTGCATTTTCAGAACAGCTCTTGCAGGTTTAGGAACAAAGCATTTTAGAAGTGAGAAGGAGAAGCTTACCATGTTACTCCAAAGCACAGGTCCTCATCAACCTGTGAAGTCTGTGGTACTCAGTTACATGCATGAGGTCTGACTCGTGCGTCACACCAGCTTTACTGTTGTGTGGCCACATTTATTTTGGAATGCGTATGTCTGATTTATACTAATATGAAGCCAGAATAAAATCTTATTTATAAAGCATAACTACCAATCAGAATTGAGTGATGAGATCATAAGTGATTAGGGCACAGAGTATATGGCAGCTGTCTATCGTGCTAAGAGTGTGTTGCTGCAAACTGATTGCTTGACACAGAGTGTGCAGGTATGTTTAAGTTTGGTTAAGGCTTTATTTTGAAAGCTCATATGTTAATTTAATGTTAACATTTGTACCTACTTTTTGCAATGAAAATATAAGATGCTAGCCAATGAGGCTGTAACAGAAACATCAAACTTCTTTACATTTTGCTGACTAGGGACTTACACTAAGCTATTGCTGAAAGCAAGGTTGGTCACATATATTTGTTGCATCTCAGGAGATAGTACCTTTGCAGGATCAAAGTTGCTAGCTGTACTCGTAATTTAAAGTGTAATATGAAATGTTGTCATTTTTGTAAAGTAGCAAATTGTTTTTCCAAGCAGTGCATAGCATCTGTATTAATTTGCCTGACACTGCCAAACTTTCTGACCTGTTCTATGTAGTTGATATTTTTTGGTTTTTGTGAAATGTAGATGTTTGGTTTGGATTTATGTTGTCCGATTTTGCTTTTTGGGCTGCCTCCAAGAACAATAATGCGCTGTAGGATTTTTTATTTGTTTTCTTTCTTCTACTGTAAAATTTGTTTAAAAACTAGGATGATAGTTTCATGGAGCGAATCAGTAGTCTTCAAAACTGTGTGCTTAAAACACTTATTTAGGTAAAGATCTGTTTACCATTATGGACCAAAAAGAAATTATCTGGCAACATAGTATAGTATTACAATAGGGGTGGATCTTTACATCAGCCAAGAGTGTTTCCAGAGGTGTTCTTGAATGGGACAAGGCTGTTGTGCCTATCGCTTCTCATGAGAGTAAGATTCATTTGACTGAATGTGGGTTTGGACAGATCACATGCCTCCATCTAAATTAACCTGTCTTTGGCAAGAGGGTACCTGGGATCTGTGGCGTTGTTCATCTCACCCCAAAGTAAACACCAGGGTTTGATCAAATGAATTGCAGCAAACTACTCTAAATATATTGACTAGATCTCCATTTAGTAAAAAAAGAAACCAGATAGCTACCGTAGGTGCATATGCCTGCATTATAGGCACAAATCAGGTGGGATTCACTATATCCACCCACAGGGTGGGGTCTATCCATGTGTACTTCATCTGGATTCCAGGGTAAGTTCTTTATTAACTTAAATAAAAGACACCACTGAAGTCAGGGGAATGGGAAGCAGTTAAAGATGTAAACATATTGAGCCATTGCAGTATTTAATGGAACAAAAAGCATTGATGCTGGGAAGTTCCATAGAGCTAAATTTCTATGGAAGCATTTAATGGAAAAGCAAAGGCTTGCATTATATTTTAAAATACAAACTAAAACAGAACGAAAATGAAATAATGATGTGTTGCATCGTTCCATATAAAAAAGTTTTCTTATTCTGGTTTCTCACAATGAGATGGCCAAACATTTTCTTTTTATCCTGAGAAATCACTTATCAAAAGCCTGTAATTATTTTACTAATTCAGTTCTCCCCAGTTACATATTCCCTTGCCTTTCAGCGTTAAGAGGCTTTGGATGTCTTTTATGTAGTTTTGCAATCAGCAGTTGTTTAGGGCAAACATCTTTTTCCATTCTCAAACCATTTGTTCATTGATCTTGTCTGCAGAGCTGTTTCTCTCACATATTCTCACTCCTGTCTTCTGGTGCTGCAGGTTTTTCCTCTTCTTACACATCTTATCCCAAAGACACTACCACCATCACAGATGCGCCCAGCCTTGACCAGCAGCAGGTCTGTCTTGGAGCCAGCCAGCATTAGCTCTATGAGACATGGG